ATAGTTTCGACCATGGCAGTTTATGACCATGGCAATATGAAGGCCTCAAAAATGTTTGGCCTAAGTACCCGAAACTCTTTTTAAATTTTGATCTACGAAACCGGGTACTATCAAATCCACTTGGACTTTTGTACAACCTAGACGCTCTAAAAATTGTCAGCGAATTCGGAAAAATTAGGAAATTTCCATAATAAGAAACAGAGTAAATATAGCACAAAAGTCGGGCGGGGCTCGTAACAAATTAATATTTATATTCGAAGTGGACCGGCATAAGTAATTTTTTGTAATATGCTGTAATATAAATTCCGAACTTCAAATAAGAAAATTGAAACAATTCCGTTGAATAATGTCGCTAATATCATCAAATTTGAAACAATTTCGGACCTGCATTGACTATTTTCTGGCGTAGGGTGTAGTACTTATTACGAGCTTCCAACTTTAAATACGCAATTTGAAACAATTCGGATCAAAAATGTTGCTAAATTTCGGAAAGATATTTTTGTGTTTGACAGCTTTGTGATTTGTAAGCATAACGAGATATAATTATTCAATTCAATTTCGATGTTTTTTTCGACAATTTCAAAAGAAATGAATAAAATTGAATGAAGAATAAAATTTGCATATTTTAATACACTTTTTCCCCATCATTAATTGTTATTTATGAAATGTAATGTTATAAAGATCGAATGCAAATTTTTTGGAATATTTTGCTTTGGGTAACACAGGTGGGGATTTTAGAAGGTCATTGTTTCGATTTACAACTTGCATATACATTTATATTTACATAATTTAATTAAATCCTTTGAACTTTCCCTACTAACGGTATGTGCCAATAAATTTTGATATTTAATGAGATAGAGTGAAGTGAAACGAAAACATAAAATTAATGAAGCAAATATTTACGGGTATGAATAAATGTTAATGAAAATATAAAAAAATTTTTTTGTTTGTAGAAATTTTAAAATATAACCATTATCGTTAAGAACGCATACTACATTGTTGCACCTAAAACGCAACTTTGTATTAATTCCCAGATATGGTTTTCTTTAAATTTATTTATCAACCGAATTGATATTCTCCAACAATGGGACATATAAATTAAGACATACATGTGTCTACTGTTTGCGTTCGCATTAATAAAATAATCAAAAATGTACCCATAAATATAAATAGCGAACGTGAACGAGAATTCGCGCGTATGAACCTCCTCTTTTTTTCACTGAATACAAATAATCATTTTTTTGGTGGACAAATTTGCCTCAATAAAAATCAGTAATTGATGGCTGTCAGCGTTTGTCATGGTTTATGCTGTTGATGCCAGCCAACACGTCGCAACCAACAACACCCCTTTTTGGCCACCTCTATTGTTTTATATTTTGCACTTATTTAAATTAATAAGCAGCATATTTATATCTTTTTATTAAAAAAATCGTTTATCAGATAATAAATTCTTCGTTTCAATAGAATATTTAATAATTTGTGTAGAATGAAAAAAAAAAAAAACTACAACAACTACTGTCTGAGAAATCTCGTAGACGCCAACGTCGATGAGAAGCATATTAAAAATGTGATATATGAAGACAGCAACAGACACGAAATTGGAGAACTGCTGGTAGCGATTCAATAATACTTATTTGAAGAAGAAGAACAAAAAAATAGCAAAATTATTGGATTCTTAAAATGACAACCCATAATGACGGAGTTGTTAAACATTTAAGGAAATCATTATTTGCTGAATGTTTCATATATCATATTTTTGGAATTGGTATTTTGAAAATGATACTTGAAACGTGTGTCAGGAATTGTCAGAATGTTAGGTGTCAAAACAAAATCATATGTTTTGTTTAAAAATTTAATGAAAATGCAACAATTTTAAACAATTGGAGGTCTTTAATGGATGAAAGACCTGACGGGGAGGAAGAAACCCTATGGTGTGAAAAAATTAGTAAATAATATTTGAGGGAAAACCAGGGAAGATCTGTAGAAGACTGTGTGCGGAGGAAGCAAAAGCAGTGAGAGAATACCCTTCTCACCTTAGATACACGGTGAGATAAAAAACTGAAACAAAGTCAAACACCATAATTTTTACATTTTTTTTTTTAATTTTATTGAATGTCAGAAACAGCATCAAATTTTAGAATAAGTTTAGATTTCTTTGAATTGGTCACCTTTGACACGAATTATGGCCTTCAAACGGCCAATGAAACAGTCACACGCTGCCCGAATGTTGCTCTGGGGTATTTTGGCCCATTCCCGGCGAAGCGCTTGCTTGAAGTGATCGACACTTTGCTATTTTTTAATGCCAATCTTGCTTTCCAAAATACTTCAGACACAATAGTCCAACGGATTGGTATCCGGAGATTTTGGTGGCATTGTGCACAGGTAATGAAACGAGGAACTTCATTTTGTTACCATTCTTGGGTGGCGCGTGCTGAGTGCAATGGTTTTGGATCCCGTATGAATGTCCAAGGTCTGCGGCCAAAATGTTTGCGTGCCCAAGGCTTTGATGCACCCTCCAGAATATTTTCGCGATAATATTCGACATTTATCCTGATGGCATGGTCGATTAATACGAGCGGAGAGCGACCATCGGCTGTTATTGCGGCCCACACCATCACCATGGCCGGCGCTTAAATTCTGGTTGTCTACCGAAGGTGCACATTTTCAGCTGACCTCTTTGGCATGTAAACACGATCTTTTTGTTTATAAACTGCTGGACAATGAATGGTTTCTCATCGGAGAAAACCAAATTCGGCAGTTCACAACTTTCGGCCAAGCGAAGCAGCTCTTTCTAGTCTATTTTATTTCTTGGTGGTTTGTGGTGTAAGTTCTTGCACTTTTAGTTCAGCTCTGGTACCTCCAGATATTCGGCATTTTGACGATTTTAGCGACATTATTCAGCTAATAGCAAATTTTGTAACATTTAGTACACATATCCAAAAAAATTTACATATCTCCATCCTAGACACCAACAGTGATCCAAAATTAGTACTATTTAGTACTTTTCGAACAATTATAGTACTTGATGCGTACCACTTCCATATCTATATTACAGATACCAAATTAAGTAACATTTGGTAAAATTTCAGTATTCATTTGCAAGACCGTTCCATATCTCAATCTTAGACCACAACAGTTATGGCTAAATAATATTCCACAGTTTAAGCTCTATCCCTTCACCCAATAGCAAATGTAGTTAAATTTAGTACTTTTCGAACAACTATAGCACGCATTTCCAAAGCCACCTTCAAATCACAATCTCAGATACCGACAATTATCCAAGTATCAAATTTCAGAATTTTATCTCTACCAACTTTTAGTACCATTTAGTACTTTTCGCACATTTATAGTAAACACATTTCAGAAGCTCCCTTAATATGTCAAGGCTACACATGAACAGCGATCCTTACATAAAATTTCAAACTGTAAGCACTTTCTGTTCACCCAATAGCAAATTGTACCAAATTTGGTACCGTTCCTCCATATTAAAGTTGTTCCAAATTTAGATCCTTTTAGTACTTTTCGTATACATCAGTACACACTTCCAAAAATATTATCTTTGTTCGATCCTACTTGATTCCAATTCGAAATTTCAAGGTTTTAGCTCTAATCGTTCACATGATACGAAATTATACCAAATACAGTACATTTTACTTCTTTTCGTACAATTTTAGTGTGAATTTCCAAAAATCCATTGTACACTCCATAAGTGATCCAAATTTAAGAGTTCTACCTCTACGGATTCCTCAAATGCAAATCATTGCATTTCTGTTACTTTTCGTATCGTTCTAATTCGAATTTCAAAAACACTGCCTTATCTGACACATTCGGACCAAGAGTTAGCCTTACCCAAAATCACAAATTTTAGTATCAGCTATTTCGTCCGGGCGTTAATGAAACTCTAATTTGAATTCTGATCGAATACATATAAGGACCGTTGGATCCATTTTTGTCATCTGCTGTAATATTTCTTCAAAAATATGTTTTTAATATTTTCGCACCATCTTATGATGATGACGGCAAAATTGTTAGCACCTCCAATTTAAGTCCATTTATCATGACTCACCTGAGCACATCATCATCAATGAAAGTGCTCCAAATTGTGGTCAATGTAAACTTCACAATAAAGCTAAATGTGCAATTTCCCATGCACAACACCTATGTACATACCTATCTACATACAATCACAACATTGTTGAATGTTCTTAATGATCGCTTTAATGCTGACATAGTAGGTATGCCGTCAGAACGAAAGACGATTTACCAACAGTGTAAGCTAAGACGCCTAAAACAAGTGCTTAACAAAATCCGCCAGCAAAACAGAAAATGCATGCGAAATAAACATTCTAAATTAAACAGAGCTTAACTTGACAAGTAAACGAAGCGATTTTTGTTTTTGATTCTGTACCCTAGAAGAAAAAACGTAACACAAAACAAATTGCAATCTTATTTTAAATCGCATTTATTCAATGCAAATTACAATGAATTCTGACGACTTGGAATACAAAATTCTCAGCGCGCTTGTTTCAATTTAGCAAAAAAGTTAAAACAACAAAAATACCAAAAAAACACAACAAAATATCTCATCAAACTGAAGCGACAACAACATCACGCTGTCCAACAAATGACAACAACCACAGTAACAATATCGCATTTACGAAAAGTTAAAATGTGCGCATGCGTAACATCTTCGCGCTTCAACCAACACCAGTAATGCTGGCTGGCGAGCTGATGGTGGCGATGTGATGTTTACAGCAAAAATCTGAAAAGAAACGAGGAATTGCGAGCACTCACCAACACCAGTGAACGTACAAAAACGCTGACGCTGGAAACGAAGTCAGCAACAATAACAAAAAACATCGCCAAGAAGAGGAAAATGTTCGTAAAGCATCATCAAGAAGCTTTTGCTGCTGTTGGATTTGGGGAGAATACCACCAAGTAACTGACTGCTCCACAAAAGAAATAAATACAGCAACAACGCGGGCCAAGACTGTTATTTGATGTGAACAGACGGACGAGTGAACGTCGTCGTTATCGTCGTTGACGCTCGAACAGAAACAAAAGAACAGAACAAAAACGAAAAGAAAATTCTTAAGTTATTTGAAAAACTGAAAGATAACCATAAAGTGGGTTCGAAGTGGATTTTTTGTGAGATAAAAAATAAAAACATTTTAAACTAAAAAAATAATAAAAAATTATAAAAAAATAATTTTTAATTCTAGGTAAAAAATAATCGAAAGAAAGTGTCTAACGAAAATTCAAAATTCCAAGGTCGTGAAAACATTAAAAAAATCAATTTCAAAATGGTGAGTGTTGAAAATCGAACAAATGATGAGTGTTGAAAAAAGGACATACGAGTTTTGTAGAAATGATATTTATTTGAAAAAAAAAAAAAAACTGAATACCCGGATTTATAAAAATATGCGAAATTATTATTGACTTGGCAATGAAAACCTATTGGATTTTAACCACCATTGTGCGATGTCCTCGCTTTCGCTGTGTAAACAATATACCACAACTCCGCTCAATCTAGTTAACCTGCTTTGCATCATTGAATGTGTTAATGAAATTTTTTTATTTTTGATTTCATTACAAAATCCAGTGCATCGAACTGACATTGAACATTGGCTTATAAACGTGAAGATAATATTACATGACAGCATTTTTGATAACCAATATTGGGTATAATCGAAACTTTTTTTTTCAAGTGAAATCGTCTTCAGTTTTGTTGGTTTGGTTTCGTTTGTGGTGTACTGTGGACTTACATATGTTAAGTGGCGTTGACAGAACTGGTGTGATCTCAGCGATTATTTATCTTAATTCAAAATTCACATGAATATCAACTTTCCAATTTTGGTGGTATTGAAAATTGTAAAAACGGTGGGCGATTCACGGATCATCAAATATGTAATTCTAAATGGCAATCATGTTTAACAAAAATTTCTAAAAATAGTCATATTGAGATGAAAAATTTGAGAATTTGTAATGCAAAAAAGCTAATAATGGAAATTTATTGGAATTAATTCGAAATTTATAATATAAATTTAATTTTATAGCCATATTGAGATAAAGAATTTGAGAATTTGTAATTTTGAGAATTTGTAATCTAAAAATGGAAATGTATTCGAATCAAATTAGTTTTCATTGTGTGCTTCGTTTTAGCATACTTCCCTTACACTGCTTTTTTTAATTTGAGAAATATCACAGGATTTGTAATTTACATTAAAAATCGGATCATAGTAGACCTGGCTAGGGGACTGTATTATATTTACTCTCATTCCTCATGTGACCACACACTTTCCAATTTTACATTAATTTGTAAACTTATTGCTTAAAATTCAGGAAACTTTGAGAATTTTATTTTACAACCAGTAAAATGAACAGGCAAATTTAAGCAAATTGTCAAAATACCAAACATTGGAAGGAGCCGTTATATCGGGGATATAGGAAAATATGGAGTTATCGGACAATGTAATATTATGGGAGGCTGGAACCTCTACGAGATGTAAATATAAAATTTTAAATAATTTTGATAGAAAATGTGGCTTAAATTATTAATATATCGGATATCAGGAGACAAAGTTATATGGGGACCATACGAACACGTAGACCAACATGGCCCATTTATGAACTTAACCTGCCCACGCTTTTAGGCTTCCATCTCAATTTGTTCGAAAAACGCATGATCACAAGAGACAGACTAAATCGACTTAATCAAATAATGTTTGGAGTACCCACTTACGGAGGGTGTCAATAAGGTGCAAATAAAACAAGTTAAAACAAATAAAAAAGCAGTAAGTTCGGCCGGGCCGAAGTTTGAATACCCTCCATCATTTGGAAAGAATTTGGCAACTTCAAAAAAAAAAAAAAAAATAATAATAATAATAATAAAATAAAATAAAATCCATTAAAAATTCTGTTCAAATCTGTTCAAATTCGTTATGTTAGGGTCTATACGACGACGTGGACCTGCATAGGCAACTTTTGTCATAAGCCATTTAAATATTCAAATGTAAAACTTGAAAAAAAAAATTGTCGAAGAATTTAGAATCATCAAAAGACCGAATATAGGAAGATACTATTATATCTGGGCTATACCAAAACATGGACCTGCACAGACATTTTTCTGTCTTAGGCTGAAGTATCCATTACGAACTTCAAATACCAAATTTGAAACAATTCCGGTGAATAATGTCGCTTAAATCACCAAAATACCGAAAAATGGGAGTAACCACTATTTGGGGGCTATATGAAGACGTGGACCTGCGCAGAAAATTTTCTGTCTTAGGCTGTAGTATCCATTACGAACTTCAAATACTAATTTGAAATAATGAAGGTGAATACTGTCGCTTAAATCATCAAAATACCGAATATCTGGAGGTATCGTTATATGGCGGCTATACGAAGACGTGGACCTGCACAGAAAATCTTCTGTCGGGGGCTGTAGTATCCATTACGAACTTCAAATACCGAATTCGCTAAAATACCGAAAATAAGTAGGTACCATGGGGACTATACCAAGTACAATTTCATCAACCTACTTCATTTTGTGCGGAAGCTAGAGCGATTTCCACAGGCGGATATACGGACGAACATCGCTAAATCGACATACAATATTATGCTGATCAATGTATATTTCGAGGTGTTACAAACGGAATGATAAACTTAATATACCCTCCATACTATGGCAGAGGGTATAAAAAGTATCGGTCGGTGTTGCCAACATATGTATACCCTCAGTCAATAGTCTTTTATTTGAATATATTTTGATACCCGTTATGATAATCAAAACGTTAACCCTTTATAGAAGAGATTCCGAAGAACATGCCCAATATTGTACATTTCGTGTCAAATATAAGTCGGATATAAATATTTCTTTCTACTTTCTCAACTACCACCCTATTCCATTCGGCAAATATTGAAAAATGACCTCGGGGTAAAGCCATTAAAATTCCAAAAAGTGCAAGAACTTACACCGCAACAGAAAGAAAATAAACTCAAAAGACCTTGGCCGAAAGTGGTGAACTGCCGAATTTGGTTTTCTCCGATGAGAAAACATTCATTGTCCAGCAGTTTGTGAACAAACAAAATGATCGTGTTTACTTGCCAAAGAGATCAGCTGAAAATGTGCACTTTCGGATAACTAGAACCATAATTTAAACGCCGGCCATGGTGATGGTGTGGGTCCCCATAACAGCCGATGGTCGCACTCCGCTCGTATTAATCGACTGTGACATCAGAATAAATGGCGAATATTACCGCGAAAATATTCTGGAGGGTGTATTAAAGCCCTGGGGAGGCAAACATTTTGGCCGCAGACCTTGGACATTCCAACCATTCCAAGAATGGTTACAACATGAGGTTCCCCGCGTCATTTCCAGCGCACAAAGCCGCCAAAATCTCCGGATACCAATTCGTTGGATTATTGTGTCTGGAGTATTTTAAAAAAAGATTGGCACTAAAACTACCAACGTGTCGATTATCTCAAGCAAGCGTTTCCCCGGAATGGATCAAAATACCGCAGAGCAACATTCGGGCAGCGTGTGACGGTTTCATTGGCCGTTTTAAACTTATTCTAAAATTTAATGCTATTTCCGGTATTTTTTCTTTTCATTCAATAAAATTAAAACAAGAAATGTAAAAATTATGGCGTTGGACTTTGTTGCAGTTTTTTTATCTCACTATGTATATTTAGCATTAGAATTTCGCTAAAAATATTTCCGTTCAAAATCTCAAGATAGTTTAATTAATCCCAACAATTTTTTTCTTTTTTTGAAATGTCTCCCAAGCCTAAAATAACCCCAATGTTGAGATTATACACATTTTTTAATGTATATACAAGAATCTAATTTGTATGGCAGGTTCCAAGACTTTTATATTTTTATCCAGGTCTTCGTATAGCCCCCATATAACGGTACCTCCGAATATGCGGTATTTTGATGATTTTAGCGACATTATTTACCTGAATTATTTCAAATTTTGTATTTTACATACTACATTTATTTACGTTTATTTGTATACTACAGCCTATATCAGAAAATGGGCAATTTGTAAGGCATGGAAGATCATTATTTCCGAAATTGCCTCCAATTCTTGTCAGCTTACTTGGTTTTTGTCTGGCTATATTCTCCCCAGGAATTATTTAAGAACAACTTCTATGAAACTTACAAATAATAGACTGGAAATATTTTTTTAAAGAAAGAAATAATTTTTATTGTTATGGTGTCTTCTGCATTAGTGGAAGAATGACTCATTTTATTATATTGCTGATTATTAATCTCAACACTCCATAACAAAATATTGCTGGCTACCTATTTTAATATTTTATATATTTTTATAAGTCAATACCACATTCCTCGACCAAAAAAAGCATCACAAACATTTTCAAACCCAAAATTGCTACCATTATTAGTCTATCAATCAATTTCAGCTTAACTAACTCCCCCACTGTGAGGAGCAAAATTGAAATTTTAAATTTATATTTAACAAAAACGAATATTTCAATTATTAACGGCAATTAACAAAAATGACATTGATTTTGGCATTATAACAGAAAAACATCATTGTACTGCTGCAGTTTATTCCACTGACTGATTGATTAATACCTTCCGCATTCTGATGGGATTAAAACAAAAGTTTTCAGATTTTGTATTTTCTCCTAATAAGAAATTTTAAAAATTCCCCACATTAAATTGAAAACAATAAAAATTTGATTGACTACAACTTTCATCTTATCGATTTGAGTTGCAAATTCGTGTGCAAATGTATTCACAAATTTTGAAAAGATGACATAGAAAATGTTTGGCGAATGACAACCATATGAATGGAGTGACATATGATGACACCAACAAAAATGAAAATATGCTAATGGAGGATGATTTGATAGGAGTCTGGGTTTTTTCTATATGAAATCTAGCAACAATTAACTATTTGTAGAAAGTAAAAGCCTAGTATTTTCTTTGTATTTACAATCAAAGCCAAATTTGAATTGTTTTATTAAATATTCAAATGGACAAGATTTTCTCTATGAATCTCATTTAAATCATCATCATCATAAGCATTAATAATATGCTATTAGCAAAAACTGCCATATTTCCAATATTTATTGAGACGAATTCTTCATTTCGTGAAATCAAGCGTGCTATTAACGTGTCAATCTGTTGAACTACTAAATTAATTCAAGGCACACCATATCTGCTGAAACCGTTGATTTGACAAATACTACTACCACTACTAGTCTTTTGATTTTGGCGGATAAATTGTGTTAATTTCATATGGTGGTATTTCTTATTCATATTTGCCTCGT